TATATAAATATTGCATGTTGTTGAGTTTACACTCAACTACATGCAATATTTATTATTTTATACTGAATGTTTTATACAAATACATATAACAGTGAACCGTGCGCGCAAAAAATTCTGCGCAGTCGCTATTTTTTGGAATATCACCCGTCGTCAAGCAATGTTGACTGTTGCTAGGCAGGAGGGCGTGGCTTCATTATTCAGAGGGTAATAGTGTTTTTTTTAAAAATGTTTTTCAACGAATCAGATTCAAGTAATTTACATGAAAGTATAATATTACCAAATATATCGTTTACTATCTTGCTAAAGCATCGACATCTTTCCCAAATTTTGCAGATTGCTAACATTATCATTGCTTCCATGCCAGTTATGCCTGACATATTTCTGTTTTACAAAAAAAATAAAACTTTGAAGGAATACAAATATTCATATGACTTACCCAAAGTCCTACCAGCATCACAAAAACAAAGTAAAGGGTGATAACTAAAATATCCACCCAATTATCCAGCCCCGGCTTCATGGTGTGTCCGGGTGTGTGTAAAATGAACGCAAATGTTTCTAAAATTTTTGTACACCCTCAATGAAAGATATTTATTATAGATAATCTCTCAAAGTTCATCAGATTAGATAAATGTCAGCAATCTACTCCGGTAGTTAATAGTACGCGAATTTGTTCGCGCCCTATTTGCACAATGACTGAAGATACCTTTACGAAGGTAAGAATGTTTAGATATTAAATGGACACAAGAAGCAAAATCAACATCAGATCTTCAACATCATATCACTATTAACATACACTGTACTTAATATATGTCTTAATAAAAAAAAATTATTAATTATAGATATATAAAAATATGCTACAATGCATTTAAATTCTGTACAATTATTCATATAAATAGGATTGCTAAAACGGCATAAAACAAATAGATGCAAATGTTTCATTATATATGTACGTCTCAGGGATGTTTATATTTACATCACAACTGCATCATGCTTAATAAATACAACACAATTTTTTGCTCCAAAGCTGTTGTTTACTGATTTTTTAAAAATTAAAATAAGTATACAATTACTAGTATTTTCAATTAATTTTGAAATAAAAATTAGTGAACGACAAAGTCCTACAAATAAAAATATTTATATGAAACTATTTTGGTCTATATCAAGTTATCAATTACGTACTAGTCGATTCAACACTTCCTTGACTTACACGTACCAATATTTCAATTTCAAGTACTTAAGTCTTGCTAGCACTCCAACGAAGTAATAGACGGTTTCTAGCAGAATATTTCGTGATTATTTACTATAGAAAAAGGTGTAAAGGTCGTTAAAACTGAGCATATCTAAGAGAACATTTTTGGGACATTCTAAAATTATTTTTTGCTAAAATACCTACGGATGTTTAAGGTAAGATGACTTTGAAAATTTATGATAATGAGCGAATTGTCCCCTTATTTGATACAAAAATATAACCCAGCTAATATTATGCAGAGAGTTGGATGTAAGAACTGGAAATTGTGATTAATTTATAACTAATATTGATTTTTATTTGGGCACAAGAGGGTGATAAAAAAGACATCTTAACAAATATTCCAAACCTTTTATAAAAATTAATTTTTTTTCTTTGAGAACATAACACGAATGTGTGTTTTTTTTTTTTTTTTTTAAGATTTTCATGCTTTAGTACAGTTCTGTTGCTTGCTGGTCTAAAAAAAAACCATGAAATTCACCGCCAGAGAAGTACAGAGAAGTAAAATAATTATATTGAACAATTGCTTTTAGATCAAATTTCACCAAAATATATCATTTTGCCCTGCAAAAGAGCAGTACCTCAGTGGTAATAAAAAGACTGATACGATACGAGTGCCAAAAAATTAATTTCTGACGGCTTTACATTTCTAAAATACTTGTTTCAGAATATTAAGAATTTTCCTCTGTCCTTTTATGGAATAAATGAAATTTTCCATTAACGAAAAATTTATATTGAATTATTTTGAGATAATGTTCATTGTCTTCCAACTTGATTAAGATTACTTTTTAAAATAAATAAAATTTCCTTCAAAATAACTGAAAATACTTTACAGAATTGTGATGAATCTAAGATGAAGAAAAGTGACACAGATTCCATCAGAAATTCTAGATGAAGATCACAAAAAGATCATTCACATTTGAAAATATTTGAACAAGTAGTAAAAATACACATGAAATAATCAATATTCCTTTAAAAAACAGATAACCATAAAAGTAGTTCAGCGGAGCTACTTTCACTGAGAGCCATTTCCTAATCTTTGATCAGATGTAAACTCCCGATTAATTATTATTTTCACAAGTCAAGCTGAAGGTTCCCGAGCAATTTGTATCGCATACTGAGAGAACACAAGGATTTCAATGTGATATTTACTTCTCAAAGGTTTTATAATAAATAAATAATCAACACTAAATATAAGCATGGGTGAGAGTTTTTTTTTTTTAGATACCTAAAAGTTGACCGCATTCATTTCAGGAATCGGTGCATTAAATGTGTGTCCTGAAATTATTACGACTGTTCCAGGAATGGGTGCATTAAAATGTGTGTCCTGAAATTATTACGACTGGTTGAATTAATGTAACAGGATTTACATGTAATAATGTACCCCAATGTGTACTGTATGTCAAGGCCAAATGCTTAAAAAATCAGTCAACGGTCACATTTTATCTAACAAGAATTTATTGCCCTACTGGTTCAAAACTATTTTTTTTAAAAATATATATAAAAACATTATTTCATCTCTGGAATTTCAGATATCACAGTATGCGTTTTCAGTGGAAGGTTCAGATGTAGCATTGAATTTTTTCTTCGATCTCCTCTAGAGCTGTTTTTGTTCAGGTGCTTCGTTGAGTTAGAACTCAAATCACGTGTATATGCATGTGAAAGCAGACCTACAACCCCATAATTCCATTTTTAATTTTTCAATTTGTCTAATTATTTTTCAATTATACGCTGCATGTTGGTACATCTACAGCTTACACAGATCAATATTACTTTTCAAATCGATGAAGCCTTCAAAACTGCCTCGGCATCATTTCTATAATGCTTTTCAAGGGAAAGGCAATTCTAAATGAATGATGTCTTCATTCAACAGGTAAGTCTTCAACTTATGTTTACAATATTGCTTTCCTCAGTGAAAAATCGCATTATTTATGTGTCCAAAACTGATTAAAAGATTAAATTTGTAAAGCAATAGTCTTATCTCTGGAATGTCTATGCATTGTTAACAATATAAGCGCTAATTGATTTAGAATATATATTTCGACGCAATGAATTTTTGTTTTTGTTTATGAGAGTTACATTTTGATCACCTCGTTTGATACCGTAATGGTAAATCCATGTCAGCAAAAAAAGACATTAACCCTATCCTTTTTTATTTTTTAAAATCAATTAAATGTCAGCAATTTGATGCTTTTTAAACCATTGCATATCGGTTGAACACCCTAATCAAAGCTATTTTTGAAAAAAAAAAATAAATTGATTAATCTTCCCAAAGCTCACCGCCATTGACTAACGCAACATATTTAATTCAGAAAACCTTTTGTACTCGTGAAAGTAAGCATGATTTTTTACAGCAAACTTTTTTGGATTACAAACACTTCAGTTAAATATGCCGGTTGCTAATCTTGCCTTGACCTCATCAGCATATTATTAAATTTAAAAATGTAGACATGTGTATACTTCTTTATAGTATATTTAGTTGTACTCTTGCAAGAACTGCAGCTTAAATGCCGCAAACATTACTATGATTTCAGTTTTCAATGAATATGCTTGGAAGTTAATACAATTTTTCGAGGAGTGTCTTTCACATATTTTTTTCTAGCCGTTGGCATATTTTGACCGAAGGCCTTATTTCTTCAAACCTTGAACCGTGCTTTAGTAAAGACTTTGTTCAGGCATAGGAAGTATAGAAACGGTTTTGCGCCCAGGGAACATTTTGTGCTTATTTTGGGACCCTGAAAGAAGTTATCGCTGTGTATTTTTTTTTAATGAAAATTATTATCTCCATGCAGTAAGTAAAGAGCACAAGAGTGTTCCCAAACGCAACATATTTTTTGCACTTCCGAAGCCTGACTAAGTCCTGACTTAGAACACAAATAAAACATTTGAGGAAAACAAAGCAAAGAAGACTGGACCCTTATCAAAGCAAACCAATAATTTTAAAAAACTAATGAGGAAGGCACTATGACAAGAACGGTGCACAATTCCTTAAAAAGTTCTGCTTATTTGCAACGAAGATCTAGAAAGATCATCACGAACATAAAATCTACGAGTGGGTAAGAAATCTCATTTCGTCTTCTGTTTTATAGTATATATGGCTGTAATACATTTCTTTTCATTCATATGTGCATCTAACTTGATTTAAAAGTGTATTCTGTTAAACGATTTTTTTTTTTAAAAAGATCATGTTTATCATATTAAATTGCAATTGTCTGATATCAGTTTCGCTTCGTTATATTGGATAACAGATTAATAATCAAATACATTTAGTCATGGCTCCAACTGAGAAAAAAGTGATGTCAAGACATGTTGTACATACCCGATACTGATAACTAAATAGAGTGTGACATAGAACTTGCTAGAAACTCCATTAATTCGAAAGTGTCTGCTTCCAGGACGCGGTTTAAAAAGCGTAAACTGCCACAAGTTACATTGTATGTTATATCGTATAACATAAGTTGAAATAAGATTCATTCCTTAAATAAATAAACTTTAATTGTATCAAGACTTACTATGGTTACAGATTTTAAACAGGGGAGTTAAGAATGGCAGTTGCCAAAATCTAGGTACATGTATAAATCATTGTAAATTTTATGCTTTTAAAGCAACCACATCACATTCAATAACTGCATGACATGCAATTCAATTTTTTTTCAAATGCCAGTCAAGCTCATCGTTAGATAACGAAATATAAATTCAAGGCACACACGATTTTTAATATCTATTTTTTTTCACCACTTCTCAGTATAAAAAGGTTAGAGGGACCATGAAAGCGGGGTTAGATAACTGGATCGACATTCTTGTTCTTGTGCTGTATTTTGTTTTCGTCTTCGCCGTTGGAATTTTGGTAATTATATAATAAACCCCTTGAACTTTCTCTTAATTTTGTTGTCTTTAAAAAACATTAAGGAGGGGTTCTTCTTGTTTTTATCAAAAAGTCCTTATGGAGGAGGGACCGAAATACAACCAAGGGATACTTTCTGGCGGGAAGATCCATGCTCTGGTTTCCGGTAAGTCTAATTTTACATACTGCGAAATCAGAAATTTTCGTGGGGGTTAATTTTCGTTGTTTTTGAGGTATGGCGAGACCCACGAATTCATGTCCACCACGAAATGTAAAATGTTACATACATAAGTACTCATTAATCCATGATCCACGAAATCAAATCCCCAAAAACTAAGAGATTTTCCTCAAACCACGAAAATTTGACCCCACGAAAATATATGATTTTACAGTATTTAAAAAAAAATGTTCAGTGGTTGAAAGAAATGTTATCAATTTATTTCGGCAAATGTTCAATTTGCAGAGATTAATAAAAATATTTTTTGTATTTTTTAAATTATCAAACAAATGATTTTTGCACCAAAATAATTTTTGGTGATTTTCTGCAAAGAAATGATTTTTGCACCCAGTTTTCATACATTAGAAAATGCTTACATTGCAAGTTTTCATAAGTTTGATCATTCGCCAAAGTGTACAAAAAGATACAAATTTGAACTTAAGTGGGACAAAATTCTTTTTTTTTTCTCACAAACGTAAAAAACTAGTGAGAATGACAAAGTTTGGAAATTCTGTGATTAAAATTATAATATTAAAACAAAAGGCTCAATATTTTACCTTCTTTTAAGTTATCTCTATTAGGATTTAGCAAGATAGGTAAACAATAAATTAAATGTGGAAGGGGTTCATTCAATCGGTTTATTGTATCGCAATGGACATCCTTGCGGTACTTAATCTTTACAAAAATTTATGCTGACCAAAACGTTTTTAACGTACAGAAACATACTTTTGGATCGAGGCTGAAGAACTTATTTAATGACCTGACTAGAACAGATACTGAGGAATGTCGATAATAAGAGAGCAATTGTAATTTGTTGCAAACAGGTCAAGTCGATCAGCAATATCAAATGTGTTGAAATAGTTCCCTCTTATCTTTAGGTCATGTAAATCTGAACCAAGTGCTTTAATCCTATTTTTCGCATCTTTGCTGAAAAAACATTAAATATTGAATGTACATTGTAACTCTTCAAAATTTACCAAAGAAGATATAAGATATTTGCAACTACAATAAATCGCGAATAATAATAGTTGCAAACCATTTACTTTGCTTTGTATTTGTAGGGAATGTTTCCTAAATCGCGAAAATAAATCGTCGCATATTGATTTCAAACTGACGAGTCGCGAATAAAAGATGATGCGAATAATAGTTGGTTAACAGTACAATAAATTGATAGATGAAAAAACTTGTGCTTTGTTTTATGAAAACAAAATGTGGTTTGAGATTTAAAAATGCGGAAATTGACAAATTTTGAGACCTTCCAGCCCTGTTCTCTATGTTTATCCCGCCAGATATCAAATTAGTTATAGCTTTTCAAGATGTAAAAATTAAGAACCAAAAAATTGTATTACCTTATCTATTCTATAATAAACAACTTTCTATAATTTACAACTCATTTTATATCTCCTTAGATTGGTGCAAGCTTGTTTGCCAGCAATATTGGAGCGGAACATTTCATTGGTTTGGCTGGGAGCGGTGCGTCAAGTGGAATTGCCGCGGTTGCTTTTGAATGGGGTGTAAGTGAAATTTAAAAAAAAATAGCATTAACGAAATCTTGGTACTGAGATGTTCATGTTTATTTTGTTTTCTTCGATTTAAACAGGCTGCTTTTTGTTTGTTGATGCTGGGATGGGCGTACCTTCCTGTTTACCTGACGTCAGAGGTAAGCAAAGATTTAAGGACACTTGGTACATTTATTGACTTTTTAGAACGTTGCATATGTTGCAAATATCAAATTCCTAAAAAATCTAAAATTTTAAGATTTGTATGATGTTTTAATTACTCATATAATGTTACTGCTTTTATAAATCTATACAAAAAGAAGTTTATTTGTATTGACTTTCCAATCCATATGATTTGACAAAATACTAATTTTCGAATATTCTATTTGCAATCCAAATATCTAAAGTCAATAACCTGAAACTTTGTTATGATTGTATTTAATGTTATACTTTCGAGTTTTAGAATGCTTCTCTAACTTTTAAGGTTTATACCATCCCAGAATTTCTGAAGCGACGATTTGGCGGGAAAAGATTAAGAATATACCACAGTCTGATACTTCAGTTGTCTTACATTGTTACCAAAATATCTGTAAGTTAAAGTACACATAATACATGTATCAATTATTTACATGTATTAACCGTTCATGTAAAAGGAAGACAGAAATCTGTCTTCAACTGTGAAACAATGATATGATTTCAGTTTGTTGTTTCTCAAAGTATGTCAAAATACAGCAACTGGATTGCAATGATTTTTATGGGTAATACATGTACTTGTGATGCTTAAATGAAGTATCAATTAGTTCTGTGCTAGATCTGAGATGAGTTTATTTTTTAATTTTTGTTGCTTTTAATGTTAGAATCATTACTTTTTCAAAAGAAATGGATATAAAAAACTTTTGAAAATTCATACGAGCGCGAACTATATGACGCCTCACACTGGAATGTTTTATGGAGCGGTACGATATGAATGCAGGCGTAGAGCATTGTAGACCTATAAGCAGACCTATTTTTCATTTGTATTCATAAAAAGCACAATTTATTCAAAGTCATACACATTGCTAGCCAAGGGTTTCTGATACACTACTCTTCTCATAACGTAGTTTATGAATAGAGTATCAGAACCCTTCTTTGGCTACCGAAGATGAGTCATACATGGGAGTACCGGTCGGCATGCAGGGAATGCTTGCTCCTCCATTGCATCTGATCCTACTTCTAATATAGATTTTAGATATTCGTGTTTGCTCTGCTCCTGATTTGTATTGTTTGAATAGACTTTTGAGCTTGAATACTGCTCGTCGTCTATATATTAAATGCACTTCATGGATTTTCAAACACTATATTCATGGTATCTAATACGTTTTTTATTTTGCTATCAGATAACTAGCTAGTAGCTAGAAATTATGTCACTAGACTATGATTTTAAATAAAAGATAGCATAATATTATTGATGTCAGTTTTTTATGTCATAGAGATACCCATGCTCATCTATGCGAGATCATGTCGAAATAGATTGCATTTTAATTTGCAAATAATTTTTTAAAGGAAAATTTTTGGGAAATTTAAGTACAAGTAGTGAGATATGAACAAAGATACTTCAGCTGTGTTTTAGAAAAAAAACAATGTCCCTGATACATGCGTTTTTCAGCACTTTCTTAATTTATCAACACCAATCAAACCTATATTTTGCATTATTCTGAAAATTACACAAAACTAAAAGTCGTCAAATTTTACAAAGTACTCAATATTATACATGTATTATAGCTTATGATAGTACTATGAATATCAAAATGATATTTGTTGATAACATTCTACTAAGACTATAAATACCTTACAGGTGGACGTGTTTGCGGGTGCTGTGTTTATCCAGCAGGCGGTGGGATGGAACACTTACCTTTCTATTTTAGTTCTGTTGGCAGTCACCGCTATTTATACTATTGTAGGTAAGATTAATCACGTGATCAAAATTCAATATGAAAAAGATCTTTACTGACAAACTACCTAATACAAAACAAAAAAAAAAAAACATTGTACAAAACAAAACAACAACTCACTCAATTTTGAATTCCTTCAGTCTTCGACATTTCTGTACAATATGAATTTCATAAAAGAGCTTTCCAGTTTTTTTTTAATATCAGATGACTTGAAAATTGTTGTAAAACCAATCTTCAACAGGAGGCTTGGCTGCTGTGATATTTACAGACACTCTTCAGACCATTATTATGATTGTGGGTGCAACAGCCCTGTCGATTTTGAGTAAGTTCTTTTTCTGTGCATTTCATTTCAATTACAATCTTCGCTCTCTATGATTATTTAAAAAAGCTTACTTGAATTTAAACTTTTACAGGTTTTCTTAAAGTCGGTGGCTTTTCTGCATTAATGTACAAGTATTTTGAAGCCATTCCTCATAGTGGGGACATTCTTGTATCATTATCAACCAATTTGTCCTTCCCCAACACCACGTACAATCTGACGGACGCCATTTTGTCAAACGTCACTCATCAGCAGTGTGGCCTGCCTCGATCTGATGCTTTCCACATATTTAGGGATCCCGTTAGTTCGGACCTTCCCTGGCCCGGTGTGATGATAAGAACCACTCTGATCAGTACTTGGTTCTGGTGCTGTGACCAGGTTAATGTTCAACTTTTCCTTCTTTAAAGCAAGAACGAATTTTTAAAGTCAATCTTTCTTCTCATGCTTTAAAACAAGGTGAAGCTCTGTAATTTTTTCATTGGTAATTTTAACAGTTGATCGTTCAAAGAACATTGGCTGCCAAAAATATTGCAAATGCCAGAGCATCTACCATCTTTGCCTCCTACCTGAAGTCTTTACCTATGTTTCTTATTGTACTTCCAGGAATGATTAGTAGAATATTATTTCCAGGTACGGTGATATGCACATATATATGTACCTACGTTACATTTTAGAATTCTTTATAAATAAAAAATCTTCCTCTTTAATCTGTATTTCATTTTTAGCTCTACTGGTCAGAGACCAGAAGAGCTTATGCGATAGTAATGCGTCCGGCGTCCGTCCGTCTGTCCGTCTGTCTGTCTGTCTGTCCGTCTGTCCGTCTGTCTGTAAACAATTTTTCAAAATGCTACTCCTCCTACAGTTTTGGTCTAATTTCAATATAACTTGGCACACAACTAGACTACACTAAAATACATAATTCTGTGTATCGGTTTTTGATTTCGATGAACGGTGTTGCCGTGGTTACTAAAAATAGAAATTTCTGTGAAATTCTTTCAAAACGCTACTCCTCCTACAGTTTTGGTCTGATTTCAGTATAACTTGGCACACAAGTAGACTACACTAAGATACGTAATTCTGTGTATCGGTTTTTGATTTTGATGAACGGTGTTGCCGTGGTTACTAAAAATAGAAATTTCTGTGAAATTCTTTCAAAATGCTACTCCTCCTACAGTTTTGGTTTGATTTCATTATAACTTGGCACACAAGTAGACTACACTAAGATACATAATTCTGTGTATCGGTTTTTGATTTTGATGAACGGTGTTGCCGTGGTTACTAAAAATAGAAATTTCTGTGAAATTCTTTCAAAATGCTACTCCTCCTACAGTTTTGGTCTGATTTCAGTATTACTTGGCAAACTAGTAGAATACACAAAGATACATAATTCTGTGTATCGGTTTTTGATTTTGATGAACGGTGTTGCTGTGGTTACTAAAAATAGAAATTTCTGTGAAATTCTTTCAAAATGCAACTCCTCCTACAGTTTTGGTCTGATTTCATTATAACTTGGCACACAAGTAGACTACATTAAGATACATAATTCTGTATATCGGTTTTTTATTTCGATGAATGGTGTTGCCGTGGTTACTAAAAATAGAAATTTCTGTGAAATTCTTTGAAAATGCTACTCCTCCTACAGTTTTGGTCTGATTTCAGTATTACTTGGCAAACAAGTAGACTACACTAAGATACATAATTCTGTGTATCGGTTTTTGATTTTGATGAACGGTGTTGCCGTGGTTACTAAAAATAGAAATTTCTGTGAAATTCTTTGAAAATGCTACTCCTCCTACAGTTTTGGTTTGATTTCATTATAACTTGGCACACAAGTAGACTACACAAAGATACATAAATCTGTGTATCGGTTTTTGATTTTGATGAACGGTGTTGCCGTGGTTACTAAAAATAGAAATTTCTGTGAAATTCTTTCAAAATGCTACTCCTCCTACAGTTTTGGTCTGATTTCAGTATTACTTGGCAAACTAGTAGAATACACTAAGATACATAATTCTGTGTATCGGTTTTTGATTTTGATGAACGGTGTTGCCGTGGTTACTAAAAATAGAAATTTCTGTGAAATTCTTTCAAAATGCAACTCCTCCTACAGTTTTGGTTTGATTTCATTATAACTTGGCACACAAGTAGAATACACTAAGATACATAATTCTGTGTAGCGGTATTTGATTTCGATGAATGGTGTTGCCGTGGTTACTAAAAATAGAAATGTCTGTAAAATTGTTTCAAAATGCTACTCCTCCTACAGTTTTGGTCTGATTTCAGTATAACTTGGCACACAAGTAGACTACACTAAGAACATAAAGAGACTTTATCAACGATCATTATTCTATTTAGTTTCAAATCCCAGCTGCTTAAGTACTTTTCTCTTCCTTTGCTATAAGTTCAAACCAGTAGAGCTTCAGTCTCGACAGAGACTTCTGGTTTTTCAGACACTGTAGCTTGCGTAGACCCCAAAATATGCATGGAGGTTTGCGAAAATCCAGCCGGTTGCTCTAACATTGCATACCCTCAACTGATCTTAGATCTGGCTCCTACAGGTACCAGCTATATCCTCATTATAAATCCCTATCAAATAAACTTTCAAGAAACTGCTTAAACTACCTACTTATTTTGATATTTTAAAATATAGCTGCAGTCATTAAATAATGCACAATTACATTGATGACGTTTTTTTTCTAGGCATGCGTGGACTTATGATGGCAGTAATGATAGCCGCTCTAATGAGTTCTTTGACGTCAATCTTTAACAGCGCTGCCACTTTGTTTACGCTAGATTTGTGGGCGCGTTTTAGGAGTCAGGCTACGGAGAGAGAGCTGCTTATTGTTGGAAAGTATGCTAAGTTTACAAAAGATATATTACTGCTTTGTTCTACATCTTGCCAAAAAAGTGAGCTTTTATAATCAGTGGTTATATATGATGAATTACAGACCAGTTTTGTTCCTGTTGGACTACTTTAACAAAGTAATGACCGTTAAAACTTTACACTCAAATTTCATGATAAAAAAAATGTTTTGCTTTGCTTAAAGATACACTGCAATGTATGTGTTTTGTATGTTGGATGAAATGAAGATTTATTTTCAGGTTGTTCTGCTTTAACATGCTGTGGGCGGGACAATCAGTCATTCTGAAACATTTCCATATAAGCTCAAATATCGGGAGCACCCAGAGCTGATTTCTGATTAAATTTCTGAGATGGAACAAATAAGATACTTATTTAAACATGCTTTCTTCAATCAAACTTTGTTTTTATTATCCTTTTACTATTTTATAAAATTCACTTATTTAAACATGCTTTCTTCAATCAAACTTTATATCTATTTTATAATCTTTTCACTTTTTTTATGAAATTCTTTAAAATATCATAACGAGACTAATTTTCTGATTGTTCTATTTTTACCTTTAGGGTTTTTATAGTCCTTTTAGTTGGCGTCAGCGTTCTTTGGATTCCCTTGATTCAAGCCGCCGAAGGGGGACGACTCTATTTTACAATCCAAGCCCTAACAGGATATCTTGCCCCTCCCATTGGAGGGATTTTCTTGCTGTCGATATTTGTCCCTCGAGTCAACGAACAGGTATGTTTAGAAAAGTCAAAACTGCCAATATAGGTACTTTAAGAGTACATATACATAAAATCGGGTACCTATAATTTCATATGGTAAGTAGGTCCTTAAAACAGACCAAGAGGTTTGGACATGAAAATAGAAAATGTTAATATAAAAGAAATTTTGCAATGTTTTGGGCTTGATGTTTGAACTTTTCAACGATATAGGATTTTTTTTATAATATGAGATAAAATCAGCATAAATGAATAGACAACCTCATGGAAAAAAGTTAAATTTAATTCAATTTAATTGGTTCAATTATTTGAAAAGAAAAACACCAGACGTACCTTTAAAAAACCTTTTCGCATAGGGTGCCTTCTGGGGGATGCTGATTGGACATACTGTGGGCATAACACGCATGATCCTAGACTTCATTTACCCCTCACCTAAATGTGGAGAGCCTGACACACGCCCTGCTGTGGTTGCCGACATCCACTTCACTTACTTCTCCGTCATCTTGTTGGGTTTATCGTGGGCTGTATGTCTTGTTGTCAGTGCATTTACTAAAGCACCACCAAGAAAAGCGGTAAGATTTTGTCTTGTTTAGGAATCAATACCGACTTGAAAAAAAATTCGAACTGGGTTCTAATATGCACTTTTTCTGTAGTTGAAAGGGTTGACCGTTTGGACAACTGACAAAATAGGACCACGTCCACAGGAAGATTATACCTTGGTTTCAACAGAGGATGAAAAAGAAAATTCAGGTTCAGTATAGAGTACGACTTGTTAAATTTTATGTGCAATTTTTGCCTAATGTTTAATAATAAAAAAAGGAAATATGTTTTGAAGATGAGAATATGGGATTGTAGGAATGATCTGTTCTTATTAAATGATATCATGTATTTTTTCCTCAGAAATGACCAAAATAAAAGAAATATCAGTCGGTGTCTCACAGGAGACAAACGAAAATTCGAAGAACGAGATGTCTAAAAATGAGCACGAGGCAGAGAGCAGCAGTACATCAGAGGAAAACGAGGACGGACCCGGGTTACGGACCAGGAAAAAGTTATACATGAGCAGAAAAACAAATATCATCTTAAATATTAATGCAATTATTCTTATAGCAGTCTTTGTGTTTCTCTATGCAATATTCGCATAGAGCAGCGCATCTGCACATGTTGAGAATAATATATGTAAATTTATTTTTTCAATTACATCCAAACATATCAAAGTCCTTCCAAAATCGGAACCAATAGCCATATTTAACGTGTAATGTAGTTAACGTGTAGTGTAGATATATGCCTACCTTGAAAAGGATATTTATACAAACATTTTATTCTTTGGAGGAAACTTAATATCGTGTCACAGTTTCCGAAAAGTGGATAATTCTTTGATTTTATCTCTTAAAAACCTGGATTTAAAATTTCTCCCAAAAAGCACACTTGATTAAACATAGAAAAATATTTCATCTTCATCCATTTACCCTCTGTTTTCCTTCACATTTTTTTTCTAAAGATTCGCAAAGTGAACTGATTACATTTACTGCACAAAATGTATTTTCAGCAGCAAAAGCATTATTAAAGGAAAAGCGAAATGAAAAAAAAAAATCAGAAAAATAAAAAAGGCTGATTTTTGCAATGTTGCTTTTCCTTATAAAATTAACCTGCCTTGGTATATTCTTAAGAGATTTTTATTACACTTTTAGCTCCAAGCTTACATATTCTGAAATTTATATTCCTCTGTAAACCTTAAGTTTACCGAGTGTGATTTGTCCATATTTGTAATTTTATTAAAGTAATAACGTAGTTTAATCTTTTCAGAATAATTTCTTTTCTTAAAAAAATACAACAGGTTTTTGAGTAAAAGTAATATCAGTTCAATTTGTACTACTCCTTTAGAAACTTTTTCTTTTTTAAAAAATAGGCTAAATTAGTGAAGACTAAACAATTTTTACCATGATTATTCTAGTTCTGTACCTTTTTTTGGAGTGGTGATATTCTTTTCTCCAGGTCTTCCGAGAAGAAAATCAATGAATTATCCACTTTTCTTAAACCCGTGACATGATATGAAGTCTCCTCGAAAAAAAATGTTTGCATCATCTTTAATATAACATCAATGAATGTCCTGAAGGAAGGGTTGAATCAGTGCTATCTATCTTGCATAATAATACTAACCGGTGGATGAAGAATGCATAGATTCCTCTCCGCCTATGGGGATGTAGAAAAGCAGCTCAACTTTCATAATTAAATTCCATTTTAACGAGACCCATGCAGCTATGTCAGTACTGTTATAAAAAGCGTGGTGTCAAAACGGAATAAAAAGAAATTTTGACGCCAAATGTTTAAAGAAATTGCATTGATTATGTTTTGTTTTGTGTGTGTGTGTGTTTTTTTTATTTTCAAAATTTTCATATTTCTTATATACAGAATCATTGTTATTAAACACTTTTATAATTAAGAATTTGTTTTGTAGGAATTAATTCCGTTTTACATTACGAAACTATAACTATATTTAGTATACAAAATAAAGCATAAAATAAATTTTACCATTTCTTTTTTCCATTTATTTTTTCATTGATAGGCAACAGAAACATATTTTTGACAAAATAAATTATTTGTATGCGTAAGTAAATACACCTTCCTTACATATTTTGCATACTTTATTCAGTTTTAAGGTGGCTCATTACATCTACAGTTTATTTTAGATTTAAATACAGCACAACTTATAATGTAGATGTCAAATATCCAGATGGCGGTATTGATATCATAAATATTTTTTTATAGAATTTTTTAGTTTTTGTATAATTTTAGTGAAATGTTTTATTTCAAGTTTATTATTAACAGAATTTCAGAACTTTCAGTGTCAAATGATGGGCATCTTCTTAAGACAAGTACATACAGTGAAAATACCTCATAATACCTAATAATAATTTTATTAGAAAAAATAATTTTCTCCTAGAAAACAATTAATGTCATTATCTTTTTAATCTATGCATAAAACATTAAGAAAATGTGTTCTGAAGAGACAATGAATGTATTTCGATGAATTACAAGTGTCAAATTGAATGAAGAAAGTTTAAACAAAATGAAAATTCCAATTGAAAAATTATTTGGTATAAAAAGTCCACCTGCAAGAGTTATTCTTTCCTTATTACCAAGACTCAAAACACTAAGGAACGTTTGACATTATATATAAAATTCAGAGCAAAGCTTTAAATTGCCAGATTATACATTTAAATCAATAAAGCAAATATATAAATTAACACAAACACAGTAAATAGCGCAAGTATAAATAATTTTTTAATTCAACAAGGTTGTAGATTTTAACTCGAATTTCCTCCATACATACACGTCATTGATTGATAGAGCTCACTGCATGCATGGCTATGAAATTGACATTACTTGTTTGGCGAAGATTTGACTGTTGTTTTCTTTTGTTTCTGCTTTTAAAAGCAATTCTTCTTGGTTTATGCATAATGAATCCGTTACTTTGTTTTCACTGTTTACAACACCGCATGTTTCATCTATTTTTAAAGCGTTTTAAAGGTCAGGGTCATATTTTTTTTTAGTAGTCATCAAAAAGTGGTGTAATGAGCCTCCTTAAAGGTCAGGGTCATATTTTAGAGGTACTTGTACAATTCGTCCGCAGAGGAAACTGGTTGACACAATGGAGGTTTATTTTTTTGTGTAGTACGTCATCAAAAAGTGGTGTAATGAGCCTCCTTAAGTTTACAATAGTATGGTCATGGGCGCTAATTCCATATACAAGACACATCTGTTATCTTTTTAAGTGGTAAGAAAAGAAAACGGGTGCCATGGATTCTCTGTTGAACTTATCATACTTGTTAGGCAATTCAAGAAAGTGGTCAGGATTATTTTATCGTAGTCGAAGCAATGAATAATTTTTATTCTGCAGCAGTTTAAAATATGACTTTTCAAACTGTCTCAGCAGAAAATATGTCTTATATATAAAGAAAGCAATGCCTCATGTAAAGAACTTCAAGGATTTTTGTGAAGGTTACAACCATCTTATTGGTGATTTTTAAGATTATATACATATTCATCTTTATAGTGTGTCATTAAGAGGGTAACATGCTTCATATTCGTGGTTCATTGAGAAACTTACATACTTACTTCTGTAAAGAAGAACTTCAGTCGTACTGTGATAAACATATATATATTGTGTCTCTATATTTCAATATTAGTAAAAGTCAGCGGGTGATTAACCAAAGAGACAATACAAAAATACAAAGAAAATTAGAAGAATGCAGGCATTAATGTTGAGAAACAGATTCGTTCTTCTGTCCATGTAAAGTTTTTTCTTCCTGGATGTTTTAGCTGACGGGTTATCATTCCGGTCAGCCCTTGGATTAGATTCCGACTTTTCAACAACTGTAACTGAGGACTCAAATTCACCTTTAGCTATAAAAAGTACGTATTCAATAATCAGAAATTAACAACAAAAAAAAAAAAACACACACACAATAAAAATGCATTTTTTTACGCACGTTTTTTGTATACAATGCTTAAATGCTAGTGATTTAAAAAAAACACACACACAAGCTGGCTGCTTAACTTACCTTGAAGCACAAAGGTTTCATTTTTCATCATTCGTTTGTCCTCGTCCTCTTTCGATCTCGGTCTTATTGGTTCAGATGTCCAAAACGTCAATCCTTTGAGCTTTGGGAACATTTTAAATAACATAAAAACTAACGTTTCCGAGTTTCCAATTTGATTACTTTTAAAAGATGATACATTTGTATATACCATCAAAATTATGGTATTTGAGAAGTTTTAAAAATTAATGGTTTCTTTAATATCTAACGACTCTGTTTTTCTTCTTAATATTTCAATGAAACAAAATGTATTTTCATCATTTTATGTTATTGTTTTGCTACTGAGTCTAATAATTTGTTGCACTGTAAACTTACCTTCTCCATGCTTGGTCTTTCAGTCACTAAGCTGACCAAAAGAATAACAACAGCAGCAAGAACCAAAAGAATGCCGGAAAAATAAGTAAAATGGATGTCTTTGACAATTGCAGGGCGGTCGTCTACCTTACCGCAACCTGGGGAAGGGTAGACAAAATCTAGAACCATCCGTGTTATTCCAGCAATGTGACCAATCAGCAACCCCCAAAACGCCCCCTAAAATGTTTAATTTTTAGTGTTTTAAAAAATTATTTCTTTAAAAAAACGAGCATTTCCATCAATCAAGCCAGTGAAGGTACCTTTTCGTTGATCCTGGGAACGAATATGGCCAGCAAAAACAGGGAACATATCGGAGGTGCTACGTATCCAGTCAGCGCCTGTATGTAGAGAAAGAGTTGTCCCTGTTGGGCGGCCTTTATTAGAGGTATCCACAGAATACTGACACCCACCAAAATGACAACGAAAATCCTGGAATAACGAAATTAGCTGTACAAAACATATTGTTAAATGATTTTTCTTTTTGTTCCTTTCTTCATTTAACTTTCCCGGTCCTTCGGATGAGACCGTATAAACCGAGGTCCCGTGTCGCAGTAGGTGCTGATCCCTCCTTGCTCCATGGCCCTCAGTGCCGAGCATAGGACAAAATTTGCAGCTCTCCACCGGCAAGTGGTGGCGTTTCCATATGAGTGAAAAATTGTCGAGAGGGACGTTAAACAATATACAATCAATCAATCATTTAACTTTCTATTTTACTTTAATTCTGGACAAAGTACACATATATTCGTTTCTTTATTAAATAATTTGTTCTTTAATTTTCAAAAAAAAAAATAATTTGTTAAACACAAGAGGGAAACACTTATACAATGAGTTACACCATTTTGATTTTATAATTTTAGAGAATCTGCTTACTTGCCCACGATAAGAAGTTCCTTTTCTGTAGACTGAATCCTTATCCGTTTCCATATATCCATAGTGAAGAGAGTAGAGGCACTGTTAAAAATGGACGTCAGCGAACTCATGACTGCCGCCATCATGACGGCCACCATCAAACCGCGCATGCCTGTTAAACAATGCATATTTTAAACCTCGTTAGAGAAAACATCTTGATAAATTTATTGCATTATTCTAGAACCATGATTTGAGAAACGAAGTCCAACGCATTTTACATATTTTTTTCAATATTCTTACCCGTGGGCGCTAATCCTAGAATAAGTTGTGGATATGCGATGTTCGAACACCCTGCAGCGTTGTCACACACTTTTAAACATGTCTCAGGATCTGCGCACGCAACTGTTTCTGTTAAATGAAATCTTCCAGTCTTAGTGTTCTATACGTTTATTTTGGGTAGTTTCTTATAATTTTTGCAGTTAGTATAAACAAAAATTACCTGGATAAAGCACTCTGCTAATCATGCCGGGCATTATGATCAGAAAAAGTGGCAAGAATTTCAAGTAGCTTGCCAAAATAGTTGCTGCACGAGCATGTGCAATGCTTTTTGCAGCCAACGTTCGCTGAACAATGACCTACAAGACTGAAGTTGATGAAGTTTTTGGAGATTTTAGCCAACGTATACATGATATACGCGCATGAAATATTACAGTGTTTCATTCTCATTTAAGGATTTTTGGCTTCCGAGAAGAAACAATCATTAAATTAGGCCATTTCCTTATAGTTCCAAAGTAATTTTGATTTTCAATCAAATCTCATTAAAAATCGAAGAAAAGAGTACCTGACTTGCACACCAATACCATACAGAGACAAACGTAGATCTGATCAAGATTCCAGGCCAAGGAAGATCTGAATTGATTGGATCTCTCAAAATATGGAACGCATCAGAACGAGGCATTCCGCAAGTGCTCTCAGTTAGATTCGATTGGGTTGGCGCGGAAAGATTAGCATAGTAGGGCATACTACTATTGGTGAAGTTGGTTAGCATGGTTTCCGCTGTTATACTGAGAGGAATGGCTTCAAAATATTTTGTCATTAATCCTTGGATTCCACCAACTTTCATAAACGCTGTAAAGTAATTATCATTAGCTGTATAAATCCCCCGCAATAAGTGTGTATGTGAACAGATAAAGAATAATAACTTACCTAGAACAGATAGCGCAATTGAGCCAACGAGCATGATGATGGTCTGAAGCGTGTCTGTGAAGATAACAGCGGCCAATCCACCTGTTGTATGATGAGTTAAATCAATAATTCTTAATAATTCAGTTTAATTGTTTGTTCAAATAAGAACAAAGCAAGAAAAAAAAGCTGCTCATCAAATTTTCTGGGGAGTGAGTTCATTAACTATTACCTACAACGGTGTAGATAGCAGTGACTGTGAGTAGAGCTGCTATTGAAATGTATGTATTCCATCCTAGAGCTTGCTGTACAAACACTGACCCGGCATAAACGTCCACCTGTAGCACAAGAGTGACGTTTGAGATAGTTAAAAACTTTCCTAAAAACATGCAAGGTACATTGTAGATCAATACAATATTTTAAACTTTAACAAATTTTATGGTTAAAGTGACTTACAATGTTACAGTATAGAAAGTAATGCCAATATAATAATTTTAGTTGAGCCAGAAAAAGTCTTGCCGATA